GTAATATTAATCAATATATCATGAAATACTTTTAAGTATATGCAAGTGTAATGGTATGGGTCATGGATATAGGTCGAGTAAGCTCAGTCAGTAGAGCATCTGACCAGTGGTCCCTTCTTCGATTCAAGGTCCAGCCATGCATTTTCTCCTTCCTTGTTACAGATTTGATGCTACATGTACTGACCCCTCTGGATTTGCAAGTGAAAGTCCTGTCAGGGGGTAATAAGAATTTGGGTTGTGTCTGTAAAGATAAAGATAAATTTAAGGAGGGATATGTAATGGTTGTGCTATGGGTATCAACCTTGATAGCTCATTCGGTAGAGCACCTGACTAGTGAAGCAGGGTTCCTGGGTTCAATTCCTGGTCCAACCACACATTTTCTCCTTTCCTGTTACACAAGTTTTTAATGTGCCATGAATTTTTACTTCAACATAAAATATTATTCCCAATGATGAAATATATTTTATTTCCACTATGGGATTTCTTTGTACTCTTAGTAACTATTCACATTTTCATATCTAAAAATAAACATATCTTTGGAGACCAAACTCTAATCTTTGTTGATTAGTAATTGTATAGGAATTTGCATTTTTGAAAAATTTTCTTGACCATCATTAAAAAAAAATTCTCATTGTAAATCTTAGGTTTTTTACCATATTCATTCAGACATATATGATTATCTCTTACATCAAATATACCTATCTTACATATCTAGAAGGAATGGAATGTAAAAGCTTCTTGGGCCTTATAAACTAAAATGTAAACTAGAGGACATATTACATATTAATAGGTAAAAACATGTACAGTGTGTGCTTTTGAGTTTGAGAAGTACGATTCTTATTACCCAGACTTTATTGTAATTTATTGAACAGATTTACATGCAAGTCCATACAATTTACAAATTACTCATTCTAAAGACTCTGATCTCCTTCTTATGCCTATATAAATGACAATTCATCTTAATTTTAAACTGTAGAGTTACCATTTATTTAACCAGTGAATTTTATAATTTTGTGTGTGCATGTATAGGTTGGGCCGTCTCATTTTTGGTTTTAAATGAAATAGAAATAAAATGTGGAGGAAATGTGCAATATAATCTGCATGCTTTATTCTGGCAAAAGTCTATTTTAAAGAAAAAGAAAATGTCTCCCTGATACATGTTCTTAAACTTGGTTTAGAAAAAAAATTTCTGATATGTGTACCAATTATTTTCACTTACTAATTAGATTCCATGCAAACTAGAGTATGTAAGTGCCTTGAAGAAATCTAACTCTAAGATACCCAAGATCCCGGAACATATTTTGGTTTTGAAATTATTGAGAGCTATATAATATTTTAAAGAAAAAGAAAGCATCTCCCTGATACATGTACTTAAACCTTGGTTTAGAAAAAAAATTCAGATATATGTACTACTAGTACTGAGTACCAATTATTTTCACTTACCGGGTACTAATTATGTTCCATGCAAACTAGAGTATGTAAATGCCTTGAAGAAATCTAACTCTAAGATACCAAAGATCAGGGAACATATTTTGGTTTTGAAATTATAGTCTATATAATCCTCAGCAAGGAAATAAAAATGGTATTTATATTACTTACTGAAATAAAACAAATACCACAGTTTACACAAATGACAGTCATTTCAGAGAAAATCAGCACTTCAAAATTTTTTCATCACTTTTTACCATTTTCATGTATATGCACATGATCAAATGCATCAATGCATCTTTTCTGATATGTTAATGTTTTTTTTTCTTCTCAGTTTATTTGGATTTGTTAAAATAAACTTCAGTTTTAGTGTGGAGAACTAGCTCACATTTGAAGATACTATATAGAAAATATCAAGTTTATTTTTAATTTTTAATTGTGCTAAAAATTTTACAATATATCATATACTGCTATAAAAAAATATTTGAAAGTTTTCCCAAATAGATGGAACATTAAGCAGCTTTAAACCAGAAATTCTAGGAGTAATTAGGGCCACTTAATTGACTTCATGATTGCATTATATTTTGAATATCTGTATCATGAATTAATTTTGCTTGATCACAAAAATATGTTGATGGATATATATTCTCTATATATCTCTTTCGCACTTACTTATTAATGCAATAACTCATTGGAAAATTTTCCACAGTGTTCAAGGTCCTCCACATTTATTATTTTTATCATGTGAAACCTTTTTTATCTTTCTCAACATTTTTGAAATGGGATCTATAGATTAAAAAAAAATTGTTTACTTATTCATTTGTTAATTTATTGTTTAAAAAAAAAAACAAATGCTTTTAATTAACAAGATGCTTCAAATTATTTTTTGCAAATCTTTATTTCAAAGCAAAGCTTGATTTACGTATGTAAAGGCCCTGTCACACCAAGCTGCGTTCACACGGAGTCATTACGGCGTTGTTAAATCTTTTAAATCGCTGTGGAATCGCAGGGAAAATGCACAAATTTCTGTAAAATTTTCATAATATGAAGATGTCACGGCGTCCCTACGGCGACGGACGCGATTCTACGGCGATCTCACGGCGTTCTTCTGCGTTCCCACAGAGATCTCTCGGCGATTGACTGCGCTTCCGCGGAGTTTTCACGGCGCATTAGGAGTTTTCACCTCGTGTTCATGGCGTTCTCACTGCGATGGCTGCGTTCACGATACGTTTACAATGCGTTCTATACTCATTGACTTAAATTCAGAAGGAATGTAAAACATTTTTGTTTAAAGATTCAAGTTACACGATGAGAAGACTTCTAATCATGCCAAAATATTAATATTCTCATAAATTAAAAATATTCTATTTACATAATTCAGTACTTAATTATTAACAGTTTTATGATTAAACTCCCTTTTTTCAATTTTATCGGTTCAGAGGTGTTGTAAGGTTTTCTTTGACTATATTATGAATGTAAAAAAAATAAACACGCTGAAAAGTTTTTTACAAAATTTAAGTGAAACAACAGAACAAGTTCTGATGTAATTTTCTCTTCCATTTTTGTTTTCACTTAAATGCTCCTAGTGCAACAAATACGTTGGAATTACTGCTGATCAAATATGATCCCATTGCTCTTGTTTTGTGAGCTGGCTGACAACGCCCTAACAATGCCGTGAAAGCGCATTGTGATCGCCAACGGACGCTGTAGAAACGCCATGGGAGCGCAATGATCGCAGTGACGACTCCGTGCTGTCGCCGTGTAATCGCAGTCCAAAAAATCTCAAGACGATAAATCTTATTAGAAGCGCCGTAAAAACGCGATAGAAACGCAGTGACATCTCCAAGGACTCTGCGACATCTCCGTGAGGTCTCCGTGGAAGCGCGGTCTACTATCACTGCGTTCGTGCCGCGATCATGTGCGTCTTCATGGCGTTCGTACGTAGCTCCCACTACGTTGTTGGAGATCTCACCGCGCTGCTACGGCGATCATACTACGTTTCTACGGTGTTCTTATCAGACCGCGATCACACGGCGCGTACTTTGTGCATGCCCAAAGTGATCGCCGTCCCCTGGCGTTCTAGGAGACCCTACGCGACCCTACGGCGTTCAGTGAAGATCTCGTCGCGTTGTCACGGCGCTGTAGGAGACTCTACTGTGATCACCTCGGTGTTTTGCATTTTTTGATGACGCCGTGCAGTCGCCGTGAGGACGCAGCCCCGGTGTGACAGGGGTTTAAACAACATGCACAGCCACTGAGGAAAATAAAAATGTCTGTGGTTTGCCAGGTTCAATCTCGTGCATTATTGTTTTCATTTAGACGATGTAATGTACATGTCTACTTACAAAACGCCAAATAAACAAATAATAACCACCATATGTCCAAAATATAAAACTTTGCTGACCATATAAGCTCTCGATATGCTTCAGACTGAAGTTCAGTAGCATGTGCAACCTACTTTCGTTTTAACAGGAAGAACTTCGCAATGTTAAGGTCAAGTCAAGTTAACCAGAGTTTTTCTGCAAAAATATCGACAATTTCTAAGTAATTTTATGTCTACTAACACAAATTTATTAGAATTATTGATATTTAACCATTTTTTGGATTTATTTCTTTATTTTCCTTTATATTAGAGCAAGTTAGTAGATATTTATTACATGCGCGTTTTTTCCCTGTTTCCAAAAATAGCGGACTGACTTTCATCGTAACAAACGCCAATCACCTTCACTTTAAATCACAATTTCACAAATAATTCGCATATTTTCACATCTTAATTACCTATTTTCCAATGTATTGTAGTTTTATAATACATATTGATAGATTCTTAATAATTCACAACTCATTTATACGTTTTATACTACGTTTTATGTGACGAAGCGCTTATTCCAGACTCAGACCTAATATATTGGGTTCCCGCACGCAAGCGTTTGTGACGTCAGACCCAATATATTGGGTTCCCGCACACAAAGGGTTAACATTATTTTGTTCTTATCTTTAGGACCAACTGGATCCGGAAAAACATTTCTCTTATCCAAGTTGTCTGCTCTTGGTGAACAGGTATTGGATCTAGAGGGCATTGCTAATCACAAGGGATCAGTTCTGGGGGCAGAAATTAATGGAACCCAACCTTCACAGAAATGGTTTGAATCTCAGATAGTAGAAAAGCTCCGATCCTTTAATCTGGAGAAGGTGGTGTGGGTAGAGTCAGAAAGTGTTCGGATAGGCAATGTACATGTACCACAAACTTTACACAAAGAGATGGGGAAAGCACAACATTTTCGTATCAACCTCCCAATGGAAAAGAGAGTACAACACATTTTGAAAAATTATCCAGACTATATTGAAAATTTTCAGTTTACAAAACAAAAACTTATGAAACTTAAAAGTTATCACAGTAATTCTAAACTTAGCGAATGGATTTCACTCGGAGAGAGCGGCCAGTGGACTCAGTTTGTGGAAGCTTTCCTGACAGAACATTACGATCCCAGCTATAGTTTATCACAGAGTAAGAACTTCAAATCCCCCGCCACTGATATTTATCTAGACAGTCTTGATCCTGAGCATGTGCAGTCATTTCTTCACACTTTGATCTCTGATCCAGTAGATGGCGCTCTATCAGAGGTCAAGGATAAGATGTCTGCTGAAACACATGACCTCTTTTGATCAGTTCCACAGCAATGGCGGCTATGTTCCTACAATCATCTGAAAGAAACAAAATTAATGAAATCAAATGAAGTAAAAATTTCCCTTTTTTATTATTTACCAAACACATTACTATCCATGGAAGGACATTAGACTTATTTTCACTGATAATCAGTCTCTTTTTCCTGTATACTGTATGTTCATAATCAAACTTCCTATTTTCTTAAGTGTATTTAACACATCTATTTACATGCTCTATAAAACACAAGATGTTATGATAAACAGATATGAGACTTGTTCCAGTTCTTTCTCTAAGTGTGATGTTGATGTATCCTACCTATCCCGCTGTGGTGGCGCCCTCTATGTGGGAGCTCCAATTCTCGTAACATGTCCATCATTCCTCGAGGATAATGGGAAGTTACATCGCTGAAAGCCTGTAAATATTGTGTAACATTAGTAAAAGCAGCATGGTACAAACAAAATTAAAAGCGGTAAGGTATGCCCAAAAGTTTACCTGTAATTTCAAGTTGTATCGACTTGCATAGCTTGAGATAACAGATACCACAGAGTCTGACACATCTGTTTCATATTTGGACATTTTACTTGAAAAAGAAGTTAATGGTAATCTAACAACCAAGCTACGAGGGTCGTTAGAAAAGTTCGCGGACACATTGAATTACGGAAAATCTGTTGTGTACTGTGAAGTATAACCTATGTCTGAATAAATTCCTACATTTTGTTTATTGGTATGTAAAAAAATCAGGTCCATATTATAAAATCTTATATATTTAAAACGATTTTTACTATGAGGTCATGGGATTCACGGAGCAATCACGAGACGTAAGGCGACGTGACAACCAGATTTTAACCCGTTAAGCTTTGTAGCAGTTCTACAAATCTTTCATTTCATCAGATATTTCTTATCTTTTTTCTACTGTAAAATTAAATATCTATATCAAGACATGTTAATTTTCTTCTATAAGGTCTTTTGTAACTGATTCGGATATTATTGAGATCTTTAAAAAAGTCTATGCCGTTAATCGATCAGGTATGGAAACTATGCAAAACCATATAGGCGCAACACAACGTCCATGCGATACGGGGGTATTGAAGTATCCATTGAATTAATCATTAAAAATGTTAATCCTTCCATTCTTTTGAAGCTATAACCATTTGAAAACTTGTCCTTTGTATGTGTAGGAAATTCCCGGCAGCATCTCTAACATTTTTATCTCTTTTTAGACATTTTCCAGTCTGCATATACAATTTTTACGTAGTGCAGTGCTCCATGACGCTCAATGACGTTCCGATTTTTGGCTGTGTATTTACGCGTTGATCATTTATAAACAGCCATAAAACAGTCATATACCCTCCAATTTAGTTCAAAATTTCTCTCAGTGACGTTTCATGTATACCTTAGTGGCAGATAAAATATCATAAATCTCTCTGCACTACAATTGTGCAATTTTTAATTTAAAAAAAGACCCTTTGTGATGTAAACGTGCCAAAATGTAGCATGCTCCGTGAAGCAAGTTTTATCAAAATAAAAAAGCTGTATATTTTTCAATAATCACCGAAGAGCACCAAATTCTTGTATATTTATTGGAAAAAAGGTAAAGATTTTATCTGGAAAGTTTGACCGGTTTCGTTGAAATAGCGCGCTCACAATAGAACTTGTCCGCGAACTTTTCTAACACCCCTCGTATATGAAAAAGGTGATGACCTTTACTTTTCTATCGTCAACTTCCCTCACTTATGCAGCAATATACCTTCATCACCTGCATACAGAGTGTATATATCTGATATGATTCGATTTGCAAGAGCATGCTCTACGTATGAAGAATTTCTAAAACGACTTAAGTTAGTGACAAACAAGATGATGAAACAAGAATATCAGGAGTTAAATTCATCATTTCGTAAGTTCTTTGGTCAATACAATGGTCTTGTCAGCAAATACAATTTATTATTGAGTCAAATGCTGACTGACGTTGTTCATACTACCTGGTAATTATTAGTCCATTATTTATACACTGAAGTGACGACAGATTTTCCTTATTTCCTGATCATGACCAGGAGCACACAGTGGGTGTGACGGTCTGTAATGGATGCTCACTCCTCCATGGCACCTGATCCCACCTCTGATATTTTGCAGGTCCATGTTAGCTCTGCTCCTACATGTATTTTGAACTATTGTACAGACTTTTGATCTTGAATACTGTTCTTTATCTCCATATGTTTCATTGCCGATGAAACCAGACTTTAACTTTACTAGTTTGTAATTTAAATGGTTTTAGCTCACCTAAGCCGAGATTTAGAGCTTTCACCTTTCACATGTATATTACCTGTGAAAAGACCTTTCTAAATACACTATGATTTTTTACCCAATGACCTTGACCGTTAGGTTTGACCTACTTTTTAAAAAATGTTCTTTTTTCTTTATAACCATTGATAGAAAAGAGATAGGGCTTTCATATTTGACATGTGTATTACATATGACAAGATGTTTCTGAGCATGCTTTGATTTCTGGCTCTTTAACTTTGAACTGTTGACCTTCGTGTGACTTTATTTTTTAAAAAGTCAACATTGGTGATAACTTTTGACAAGATGTCCACATTAAACACAATATGCCATAAACAATGACATCTCACCAACAAAGACGCAGAAAGCCGGAGACCAATTTGAATTTTGCTTGTGTTTCTTCTGTCAGTGACCTTGAATTTGTTGAAATTACTTTGTGTCAAGGTCATGATCACCCTCAGGATTTCTTAGTCTGTTTAATAAAACAATTGTGTTGCATTTTTACTGCATACACTTCATGCTTCAAAGTCAAGTGTGAAGCCTGATATGCGAGTTTGTACCTTTTTAATGTTGATCCACTTCTTTAAATAATTTTCTGGTTTTAAATTCAAGTGTGTGCACTGTGAGGGTAACCTGCAAATCAGAAAAAAGACTCAATTATTCCTGGTATCTTAAATTAGGCCATCCTTAAAAAATTAGGCTCATTTTCCTATAGAATTTTGGTGTTTTTTTATTTAAGAAATAAGGTATCATTTTAAACATCTATCGG